AAAAGTGCTTTAAGTTACCACATACAATTATTTAATATAAATAAGTACCCTTTATATCTCAACTATATAATTTATAATATCATAAGAAATAAGCCTCTCCATCTGGACAATTTAGATACACTTAGTATTCATTATTCAGCATTTGTTACATCATGTATGTGAATATGAAATTACCTTTATGTGGATTTGAGCTTTTGGTCATATCACAAAGCCCTAACTATTCATTCCTAAAGCCATCCCTAAATACCTCCCCTGAGTCCCTCCCAACCCTCCAGCTTAAACTGTTAATGTGTGTGACTTGACAGAGATGGACAGTCTGTCTGTCACTCAGCCTCATTAGGTGAATTGATTAGCTAACGCTATTATCGATGCGCCCACAGGGCAAAATGATAAATGATGCCACTTTGAGTGCAGAAGTCACTGAGCGACTGCTTATACCGAAGGGACCGGTGCTCTAAAATCAAGTGTAATGGTTTTATCCGTTTTTGAAGAGCACATTTTAAAACAGCATTGATGCACATATTTATTTGCACATAGAGCAGGAAGGTCAGATCCAGACACCATGTGGAGATGCGTTCTGATTCCAAATCTGTAGGTCAGGGATGAACTCAATTCAAATGATTTGCACAGATTTACATTTGCCTTCGAGCTCATCATCCACTTATCCAGCTGATTTGCCCGGTTAAAAGCTGGTATGACTGAGCCTTCAAAAGTCAGATGACAGGTTGGTACTGAAATGTATATTTTTATCTGATGTTTGATTTGATCTCTTACATTTGCTATCAATGAATTTTGGAAAATACTCTGACCCTGAGTGGGATGTTGGACAGTTGAAAAGGATACTTGGGCAGACTAAACTAAAGCAAAACAGTAGAAACTCTCAGGCAACCAATTAGCATTTTACATGCATAAAATATGAAACTGATTTCAATTTAGCCCTAGATGCACGACTACTAAGTATTAAGCACAATGTAAATGTCTTTTGAGGACAAAATGCTTCTGGCTGTCTAGGAAATGTTCATGGATTTTTTACTTTCTTGCAAAAACTTAAAAAAAATCTTCCTCGAAGGAGTTTTAAAATGAATAAATCAGCGCTGCAGTGCTGTGGGGACTGTCCTCTTTGTGCCGTGGTTGTTATTGGCTGTAGTGTAGACTCAACATTTCTTTCTCCAGTGGTCAGTTTAAGGCTATATAATGAATTCACTGTTGCAAAGGAGCTAGAAGATGCAGAAACAGCCATGTCTTAATTATACTGCTCCTCTTGTGGGGCACTCTTACTGCTCCAGGCTCATTAATAGTGGCTTACAGTGTCGAAATTGACACCGTGGGAAATAGCCAGGTCCATCTTCGTCTTTCAGCCTTCATTATTAAAAGCACTCTTCTTTTTTTTCTCCGGTATGAGTTTTGAAGCACATCCCAGATTCAAAGAGATAAGTCCCCAGTAACTGAAAATAAAGACAACCTTGGATAAATATGAGAGCATACCCTGAGGTGAAAGTCGGAGGTCTGTGTCCTCTATCATTCTGACAGGCCTCAGAAGATATATAAGTAAAAACACAGAGCCCTTCTCTACCCACTGTTAGAGTGGGTTGCACCAGGCTGCAGGAACAAAAAAAGGAGGCGGTACATGTCATGAATATTTCCAGATGCTGCAGAGTTAACTGTGGGAATTCAAGCGTAGAGAAAAATCAGCGGTTGGCCGGCCTTAAGAGGCCTAGAGGATGATGTGAAACATTGACATTGCAATAGGATTTGACTAATAATGGGTTTCTCAAAGCCGACACTGGTAGTTTGTGGATTGAGCCTAGCAATAGTTGCCCTCCTGTGCTCATATTCATTAAATTTAACCAGGCTCATGTAACAAAGTTGACATAGTGGGTGGTTTACATAGTGCACATTAAACACAATTGAGGAGATTATAAAAGCATTTTTTTTTAATGAAAAGCTGTGTGTGCATGAAAAGCCTGTAAAGTAGCAGTTATGATACATTTGCACTTAACACTGATTATGGATGGATATCGTTACATTCACATTTATATGTGAGTGCACAGCATCCGATGCTTGTAATGCTTGAACCAGTTCCCGACCGTGGTGGACCCCAGTCGTGGTGGCAGCTGATTAGTGGACTATGATTATGACAAGATTGCTTGATATACAATGTCTACTCAGATACTAAACCATTACTGACAATAACTCCTCAATTCATTAACTTTCCATGTTACAAACTAATCAATTTTGTAAATGCTCTTGTGTTGCCGATGTTTTCAGTCACACGTGGCATCTATTGCACTTCTGTCCGTCCTGGGAGAGGGATCCCTCACATGTGGCTCTCTCTGAGGTTTCGACGTTCTTTTTTGACAATAGAGTTGTTTTTACTAGTTTTTCCTTCCTCTTGTTGAGGGTTAAGGGCAGAGGATGTCACACCTTGTTAAAGCCCTATGAGACAAATTGTGATTTGTGAATATGGGAAATACAATTTAATTGATTGATTGATTGATTGATGATTAAGCATTTAACAAATCCATATTCAAAATCCAGGTAAATTTAATAAAATGTAGAGTCTATAATAAAACCATGAAGGGAAATACAAACCTTACAGGGCTATTAGATTCCATGAATTCAAACTAGTGATGTTATGGCTGTAACAATGGGTGTGTGGGAGCATGTGTATGCATATGGCTGCAGGCCAGAAATCACTAAATCTGCCTACTGCACCCATAACTATCAGCTGGAAAATGGTTTATTCATCTGCCCATGTTTTTATAATTTAGTTAACTGTGTGTGGGCACCACGCTGCTCACTGGGGCAACAACAGATGATCTACATGCTGGGCAGTTTCCGCAGGGTGCTTGCTCATCCGTCCCTGCATGCATAACACCTGTTGTACTTGTAGCAATGACGTACAGAAGCTCTTCTTCTGTAGCATGTGTGTGTGTGGAGAAACATGTGGCTTTAAAGCCTCAGGTAATGTATTGGGTCTCACATGTTGGATTGTCTGTGTTTGTAGAAAGTGAGTGCAGGCTTCACCCTGGCCTACGCTGTCATAAAGCTGAACACAGAGAAGCTTAATCAAAATGTCCACAAGCACAACGTTACCAGTGTCAGAGGTTTTTATAGTGGGAGGCAGACCTCTCCATGGGAGACTCGTTTCAGGAGAAGATCAGTGAATGGGAGTAAAACGATATGACATTAGTTATTGAATTATGTATCAAAAGGAGATCATGTACAACAACTTAAATATGATTTAAAATGATGGTTCAGAGATACAGTAGTTTTGAGGAATGTTACTGGTTTTTATCACGTCGCTGAGTCAGAAATAAATATCTTCATAAGCTGGTTTTTATGTATGTTGTGTGGACTGAATTCAAGCTGTGACATTTGTAATATTAGGCTGTTTATGCTTTTGCTTGTTGAGCATCTGTGATCAAATGAAATAACGAGCGCAAAGGCATCGAAGAATTGAGCAAATCTAAGCATGTCCAGTGCATGATGGAGTTTTTGTTTTCTTTGTATTCGCAACCATCCTTACTCTTAAGATTAGACTTCTGAATTCAAACTTAAAAGTCCAAAATTAGAGCCTTTCAGAGGAAGAAAATATTTTCTCCAGGTGGAGAAAGTCTGCAGAAAGTCCAGAAGCTCTCACTCTGACATTTGCGTTCCTCACATCTGCAGAGGATCACCTGAGTTCAGTGCATGTTTGAAAGCAGCTGAAGTATGTTGTGGTCCAGTTGTGGTGATGGTAGAAGCAGATTCAAAATAGTCAAATGCATTCTTTGATGGTAAAAGTCACCAGTTGCTTTTTTCTGTAGTTGCATTAAAACACTGTGTTGAGATTGTGTTTCTTTCAGTGTGTTTTAAATATTCTGGGTTTGTGCCCGAGTGAAGAGAGCTGCTGATAATAAGAAGACCAATATCTGCACCACATTGTGGTTTAACTAAATCTGACAGCCGTTGGCCTTGAAAAGCAGTTTGACACACAAACATAGATTACTCCACTGAGTCACATCAGGCCACTGCATCACACCCAGCTCAGGGATTTATTGGCTCTCTTGTCCCCCTGTCAGACCCTGCACACTATCACTCTCCGAGCTATTTTTATCCATCCAGGAGAACATGTTGGCATCCTTTCCCTATCCTCCCATAATTCCTCCCTGTGTCCAAACACGCTGACAAGAAATAGGTCTGCAGTGTCCCGGTGCTTTACAACAGGCTGCCGTTTCACATGAACAGCTCCACTCACACTCTCATCTTGCATTTATGTGCCTTGCACATGCTCTCACTTACTTACTTACTCGCTTTCACTCCCCCCCCCCCCTCTCTCTCTGGCTTTCTCTGTGTGTGTAAATGATGAAAGTAAAAGTAATACATGAAACCGACAGGGGCATCTGGCCTAATTCCAGTCGAAAATGGAATTGGATTAGTGCCTCTATACTTGCAGCTGTGTTGGTGTGTGTGTGTGTGTGTGTGTGAGTGAGTGTGTTTGTGGGTGTGTGTGTGTGTGTTTCGGGTGAGAATCAAGGCAACAACAGAGCTCGGCTGCAGCCAGCTGCCCGATAGTGAAGCACAGAGCCGCTGCTGCTGCTCAACACCTTTCTGTGTGTGTCTGTGTCTTTTGTCTGTGTCTGTGTCTGTGTGTGTGTGTGTGTGTGTGTCTTTGTCTTTGTCTGTGTGTGTGCGTGCGTGTGTGTGTGTGTGTGTGTGTGTGTGAGACAGATCAGTCATCTACACGACACTGCTCATCCTCATCATTTCTCCTGGCTTCCAGACACAGTCTTTGTTAAATGCACTGTATGTGACCATGTTGCTTAATCTTCTGATGAAGATAAGGAGTTAAATGGCAGCTTTGTGTGGCTGATAATCACACACTTTATTCAGTCACTCCCTTGTGGCTGCACTGAGAATTAAGTTACACAATTACAGCAAACGTCACTCTCTAAATGCCTGCTGGTGGATTTAATTTCTCCCTTTCTTCCCTCTGTGCTTTATTTTCACAAATACAGTGCCGGTCCTAAAGGAGACAACATTTACGAGTGGAGGTCGACCATCCTGGGCCCTCCGGGCTCCGTGTACGAGGGAGGAGTGTTTTTCCTGGATATTGCCTTCACACCAGACTACCCCTTCAAACCACCCAAGGTGAGTGTTGCCCTGCAGCAATGCCCCCCCCTCCCCCAACTCCTTCAGCCAGAGCTTTGAACAATGCAACCACTGTCCCAGCAGGATGTCAGCTTTTCACCTTAATGTCCAACAACAGTGACTTTTTTAAGACTTGTTCAACGGCAGTATGTTTACAAAGTAACGGTGGCAGCAGCAGAGAGAAGTGACGCACCCGCATGACAAATGATGAGACTGGTTATTCTATAGTTCCGTATTTTCGACAAATCCTATAATAAAAATAAAACCAACCATTATTTAGGTTGCCTTTCAATACTCTAATTTTCCTACCTTGTTCATGACACTCAGATCAAAATCATTTGGTTCCTACTGAAACTATTATACATCGTTTATAAGTGGGTATACATAGGTTTTTTAAATGCAGTTAAACAGTGCAAACAAGAATTGACTGCCAGCATTGAGGGGAAACTGAGAAGCTTTCCCACCTCACTGTCTTGCCAGTTTTGCAACTTGCGCCACACTTAGAGAAAAAATGTCGTTGCATTTTGTTCCCATGTGTAAAAAACAATTATTGCACAAACGTTTAAAGCTATCGATGTGCCAATGCCTGGTTCAGTGCTCGTCATTATGTTGGGCAAGAAAAGGTGCAGCATTAGCGTCTCGACTGCCAAAACAGAGAAGAAAATAGCGCATTCACCCGGGTGTTTCCTTCAGTGCCGATCGAAGCCGATGAAAACCTGTATCCATTGGAGAGTCATTTGAGCCGGGTGCGAATGCCGATTGTATTGATAGTCGTTGCAGACAAAGGCCAGGTTTTTTGACCAGTAGAAATGGGTCTTACATTTCATCCATGTAAGCAATGATGAAAAAAAAATCACAGTCATCAGTCCTAAAACCAAAACTAGAAATTAACCTCTTGAAACCAAAATAAAAAATTGAAGAAATGTTTTTCTATTAATAACCGACAGTTTTCTTCAGTTTCTTCCAGTAATGCATCAAAAGAGTAACTGGCTCATTAATTGAACATATCCACAGTCTCACTAAACATGAAGAAACAACAAACCACCAAAAGCAGAGAGGATTTTTCATGAAAACAAGCATTTATAAAAAAAATTCTACCAACATTAACAAGGAGTGCTGTCTGTATTTTAATGAACAAAAGAATGAGCCTCTGAATTATCAGCTCCTCTGCTGTGGGGAACACAGCTAGCTTCAATGACGCCAAGATAACGGGGGAACAGCAGATCCAAAAAGTAGTTGGAGGTAATGGTGTGGGGGGGAATTGAGTCAAACTAAATGTTTTCAATACACACAGAGTAGTTGTACGTAGGATAAAAGAAATTGTTGGTTAGATCGTTTGACAAGAAGAACCATATAGGATATCACCAGCCTTTCCTTTATCTGCTTCTTGTTATTGTGTCCCTTCCTGTTATGCATGCTGCCGGCTTTCAGCAGCATTTGGCTCCCCTCCAGTGCAGCTGTGGGTTTGCGGGTGTGTGTGTTTGTGTGTGTTGTGCTGATGCAAGTGTGCGTCAGAATTGACACAGTAGACTGGCTGACAGCGGTTGCCACCTCCCCTCAGTTTGAGTGGTACCTCTGATTTTGCCCTGGGTTTTGGTTTACACTTCTATAAATACTCGTCGTCTAACCTCTGTCAGCTATTTAGAGAAGTGCGTTGAAAAAGTCAACAGGGAAAAAGGTAAACAGGAAATGTGCTACATTTATCCTGTTTTTAATACGCAGCATTCAGTGTGGAGAAGCATGCGTCTTGCTTTGAATCACAGCTGATGGTAAAAAGTTGCTCATGATGCTTTCTTTGCAGAGCTTGTCCTGAGGGTGATGCTGTCATCAGATGGTCACCACAAATATTAGGATGCAACCTCTGGGCACACGTGGATATTTACAATGATTCAACAAAACATCAGATTTTTAGATATTTTGATGTTGGAGAAAGGACAAGGTTGGGTGTAGTCACTTCTCTTTCATCGTCTCACACATTCAGCCATGAAGGCTACATCCACACAACTTTGCTACAGATACACCTTGCATCCACACTCTGCAGTTCTACAGGCGCTAAAACAAAGACATTTGGAAATGCTGCTGGCCTTGTTTTCCTTTGAAAACACGCTATTCAAACAAAGACGTAGTAGCAGGCAAATGTGTTGATGGTAATGCTGACACACAGAGCGATAATTGATCTGCAGTCTGGTGTGGAACATGACCCTGAAAGAGAAACAGTCTTCTCCTCATTCCCTGTTGACTGGCTGCGACGGCCTTATTCTTGGCTGCCTTTGCTGATGTGGGGGGTGGGTGGGGAGCGGGACAGAGCTCGTCTAAACTCCTGGCCCTCCTGCTGCCTTGTTTTTCCAGTCTGGCTGTGAGCCGTGCCATCCAGCAGCTTCACCGGCTCACAGCCACCAATCTGACAGCTGCAGCTGCTCACTGCGCTGCCTCACACACTAATGTTAGGACGATAAAGCCTGTTAAGGCCGACAGTGATACTCTCAGATAAAGGTTGAGCGTGGCGAGGACACTGCTTCAGTATTTGTATTTTGGTCCAACATTAGTTTGTTACAGGACCTATTGTTGGGTCTTCTCATGGCTTTAAAGTGTATTGCGCGTCATGCTTTATCTGCCTCTGCATGGTTTCATTCTCATTTTGAAACTTTTGCCACGAGAAGTGATGCTTTGAACTTGTCAGCTTTACCAGCTATTTAGTACATTCTCTCCTTTAGACCTTTCCATCTTGCCATTTTAAATGCCTCACATCCACACCCCGGCCGATTTAAACCATATTTTGACCCAAAGTACTTAAGGATCTTTTCTCAAGTACCTAAAAGGTTCCTGCAGTCTGTTCATTGAAAGTATTTCCACCATGGTCCACTAGTAGCCTGCTGACATATGAGCAAATGATGGCAGAATACAATACAACAATAAAGTTGTAAATCAAGCAACACTACAACAACAGTTAACATGAAGGAGATTCACTTTGGGCTTCTGTTGATCACAGTGAGAAAAGGGGCACTAGTAACATAGTAAGGAAACAGATTTTACAAGCTATTATGAATATTGACCAGCTGAAATAAAAGGTTATCTTAAACAATCACCTTCAGCACTGCAAGCTCCTCCCAAAAAGTTCCTGTACCTTCAGAAAGTTCTTCCTCCGACAAGCAACCCCCCTGGACTTGATCTAGACCCTGGACCTGCAAATGTTAATTTTTCCTGGGGGAAATTCTTGCATTGGAAACACACCTCTAGAGCAGGAGCCATGGAGCAAGAACAAAACCCATGCAGATAGAAATCCACAGAGAAAAGCAGTGGGCAGCTTTGAACAAACAACCTCAGTGCTGTGTGTGTGTGTGTCAGGCTGTGATAGACTGGCGATCTGTCCTGGGTGTACCCCGACTCTGAGGCCAATGTGAGAGTATATTCATGTGTTATGATAGAAAATCAATCAATACAATTTCAACTCAGTGACCGCGGTGATAAAGGAAAAATGGAACTGACAGGATTTCCACATCTAAATCAGCCTTAATGAATCATCGTCGTCCTCTTCAATCGGCCATGAAGATTTGTGAAAATAATGTTTTAATCTACCAAGGTGGTCCAGGTTTACAATATGCACACATTCTTATAAAACGAATTCCAAATGGTTTGCTGAGATCCAGTTAATTTAGGTTTTATTAGAGAAACTTTAAAGTTGTACTAAAGCCATTTTCAGACATGACCTGTGGATAAACTGCTGAGAATTGGGTCCGGACTATTCGCTCTCACACACATGCACAACACAGTGAGAGGATCTCTGCACAGACGCATGCACAACAGCACAACAAATACTCCACAGTATTCAGACGTGGTGTGGAGCAGCAGGGTGCAGCAGACAGAGGCAGGAAGTAACATATTAAAGTATTCCGCTGCGGAGATCACATGATTTTATTCACGGCACATTTACACCATCATCTGCTCTAAAAACCAAAATGGAGCTTTGTGACATTTTTAGAAATTTTGGCATCAACTTGGTACTGAAGTATCAGTTCTCGTGACATCCCTAGTGCCCACACTGATTTCTCATTGGGAAAATGTTACACAGACTCTCACCATGTTGTTTTCAACCAATGCAGGCAATCGGGTTTATGTGAAGAAGCTCTAATTTACCACCTGGTGAACATAATGGAGCATTTAGCAAAATATTTTGTTGAGGTGATGGTGACGTAAAAAAACATATTTTTCAACATATTATTAACTATATTTTTACACCTAAATATATATAGATATATCTTGGAGAGAGAAGCCTATTAGAATTTCAGTATGATGACAATAAAGATCTTGAAATCTTAAGTCTGATTTTGACTTTATGTGGTGCAGAGAAAAGTGAAAGCCTGTGTTGATTCATGTGTGGTGGTTGTGTTAATAGGCAACCATTCACACATTAGCCATATCAGCCAAGTTGTGGAGGTCTATTTCCAAGTGGCTTCACTTGTAGAGGACATGACTCCCCCAAGGCCCAACAGGTCCCTTTAAATTCAATCAAGCTGCACCAAATGCCATGCAATCATAGTGAAAATGTTAAAAAACAATCTCACAATGTTAAAGAAAATGAAAAGAATTCCTGGATCCACTCCCTGATCTGGATCCACATAGTTTAATGAGTTCTTCCTTTGACTCCTACCACATCCCCCCCACCAGGTTCCGTGGTAATCTGATCACTTGTTTCTGTGTGATTTTTGCTTATAAAACAAACAAACCAACAACAGGCAGGAGTAAAATTCTAACCTTGGCGGAGGTATAAAAGACGATTGTATCTTTAAGCAATGAGAGTTTGGTCTGTCCAGCTCACATTTCAACTCAGTTACATGAACAACTTTAGATGAAGAAATGAAGTCATGATGACTCTGATATTAGATGATACCGACATCACTGACCCATTTTCTCTAGTGCCATCATCAGACCTGAGCACATACATGCTCTACAGAGGATGAAACATTTTCATTGACGCTATGATGCTGATGAAAATGAATGGCTGTATCGCTATGTAGTTTGCTTTAGATATTCATATTTTAGTGTTTTATGCGCTGAATATTCTCTAGAAACACAAATCTGCAAACCAGTGAGAGCCGCTGAGATACAATGTAGTGTGGAGGTTGTGTTAAGAGGGATGACACTAACAGAGGGGATGTAGGATTAGACCCGTAGCTTTTGTTATGCGGAGGCAACATCATAATCTATTAGCGTCAGCCATGATGAGATTACAGCCTGTTAATGAGACCACACAAGCTAGGCGGGGATCTCTTTCATGGCTGCTGGGCCGGTCGCATTAGCATACCACTGCTAACCAAACTCAGAAAGGGACCTCTTCAGACACGGGACCTGCCCTCAACCAATCACCATCAATCACCGCGTCCGCCCGCTCGCCTATTCCTGTCACATCTCCGTAAATCCACACATGCAATGGAAAGCATCCCGTTCGCTGCTTTGTCGGTCCATCACGTCCCTTTCAGTCATGCCAACGTGCCTCGGCTCCGATCCCATGTGAGGGTTGTTTGTTTCTCATAAGAAGGAGATGTGAAGGGAGGGATGGATAGTTAATGAGAGAAGATAGAGGAGGGAGGTGGGGGGGGGTTAACGAGAGCAGACTGCAGCCAAGGGGCAGGAAGAGAATGGAAACAGCGAGTGAGCATCCCTGGACTGCCAGTCCTTGTAAGCATCATCGATCTTAAAGAAACAATGAGGTCAAAGGTCACTTCTTAATGATGTTGTGCTCCTCGTGCTGATATTGGGCTTTGCTGAGTGCTGAAGGCTGTCCTCACTTCACTGTTGACTAAAGACGATCCTCAGGGACGGGCAGGATCACCTTGGTTCTGTATGGATCGACTACAAAGTGTGTGTCTCTGACTTGGTGAGAACAGCAGCTGTGGTTAATCCCAGTCATTGATTTTCTTTCACTATATTCACAGAGTCCTTTCATAAGGCAGATGATGCATATCACTGCCAAGGCTGAATGTTTAACTGTGTTATTTTACTATCAGAAAATGTTCATCTGCTTTTTCATACTGTGATGGAAAATCATAAGATGTGTGGACAGTTATAACACAATCGTTGTGTTTTTTAACGATGGATCAAATGACTAATGTGAAGCGTGGAGCTTGTAGCTCTTCAGTTCCCCTCAGCTTAACTTTGCCTTTTAGCATGTTACAGCTCATCGCATTGGTTTTAAAAAGCTGTTTTAAATTAACTTTCCCACTGTGTTATCTCCAGGTGACGTTCCGCACCAGGATCTACCACTGTAACATCAACAGTCAGGGGGTGATCTGTCTGGACATCCTGAAGGACAACTGGAGTCCTGCCCTCACTATCTCCAAGGTCCTGCTGTCGATCTGCTCCCTGCTCACTGACTGCAACCCTGGTGAGATATGCAACACACACACACACACTTTTCCTTTCTGCAGCTCTCCCCAGCTTTAGCTGCGACAGGTTGACTGACATGTCCATTCTGTGTGAATGATGTATTCAGAAGTGTGTCTCCGTGAGGTTTAAATCAGGCTCTTTGTAGTGCAGCAGGATCCTTGGAGGTTAGACAGGCTTGTTGCACTGATAGAAACTCTGCTGGTTGAATCTTCAGCCCCTTCAACAGGATCTGTTGACTTAATTTGCTGCATCAACATGTCTTTCGGCTGCAATTGAAGGAGCAAGAAAAGCCCTGACTCACTGAATCAATTCCAGTTCTACAGTTCAAGTGGAGGACCTTATTTAAGAACGCCTGAGTTAAGACTGCTCAGTGTTTCATCTGACTGTCTCGGGTGAATAATGTTTTTGTTCGTCTTTCGTGGTCTTGATGCAGTTAATCATACAAATGGGGGAAGCAGTCACTTCTTGAAAGCGTTTGTGGTGTAAAATGAAAAAAGGTGTGAAAATGAAAAGAAGCTGGAAAAAAATGATCATAAGCTGCAGTTTCTCAAGAGCAGATGCATGTGTGAACACAAATGTCCGAGTGAGGACCTCTGGAGTTTCTGCAGACTTTTTCCGCTTTGCCCCCCTAGTACGCTCAACAAATTGAAAACAAATATCTCTGAGTGAAAAAAGTGGTAAAAAGTGGTAAAAAAAAAACCATGTGGAATTCATACATTACATCCTCTTTCTGCTGCACCACCCCTCACCTGAAGCCCACAGAGGATTTGTTACTGTTGTGAACACATCTGAGCAGAAAATCTCCTGCTGCATTGTGCATGTTTGAAATGAAAACTGTGGAGAAAGTCCAGACTCAATACTCCTGGGTTCCTCTGCAGGAAATGTCTGAAAACAGCTCTACTCTGAGTGCCTTCACATCCAGTGAAAGTGACTGAAGGTCTCTGCCCCTGCTGATTACACGGAAAGAGGATTTCACTGAGTGATTAATACTGAGGCTTCTACACAGCAACAAATATCACTCTTCTCTTCAGTAACCACGGCTGCACTTAGTGTGAATGTGTGTCAGTTGTGTGAAATGAAAGCAGAATTAATGATTGTAGAATATTCATACCATTTGTATTCGTCCTCTTGAAATATAGTGTTGTAAAGCACGAGCCGGAACTTTCCTGCTCGGTTCATTACAGTCCGTGCAATATATATCGGGGACCGGCTGGCTAAACACAATCCTGTAAACAGCTGACGCCATTCACTGAGACGTCAACATTTTTAAAGCTAATTCGATCCATTATGGCCCAGTTCACCAGCAGTGCAAAGAGGAACAGGGAATTCAATCTGTCTTTTATTGACCAGTTAAACGTGGGTCCACTGGGCCTCAGGTACGAATGCTGTTGATGTCTCTTGATGTAAAGTATTACAGTGGGCAAGCAGAGGTGATAAAAGCATCAATACCAATGTGTGGTTCAGAGGGAAAGAACAGGAAAGAATGTGGCAGAGCAAAAGAGAGAGGGAAAGGTAAGAAAAGAGGCCAGGAGAATGGCAGGTGATTTCACATGTCAATAGAAGGGAATGAGCAGGGGGAATAGTGCTGATAGTGAAGACCTCTGATGGTAGCTTGTGTCCTCTCTGCGGGGATTGCTCTTTGATAAATGTAGCAGTGGAGATTCTTCCTCCGTGGGCGAAAATGAGAATAGCTTTTCCTCCTCCTCTTCAGTGGTTTTATGATGTTGCTGAAATTCCTTTTAAGTATGATACAAAAAAAAGACTTGATCATCACCCCATCCTTGCCAAAATAGAAAAATCCCCATTACCCCTCCTCCCTGTTACCCACACACACACACACACCTTATCCTTCTTTCTGCCGCTTGCCTCATCAAAATCAGTCTGCTCGCTACACCTCTCATCACTTCATTTTTTTTTTACCCTGCCTCAAATGCTGAGCGTGGTCGCTGGATCTGAACTGCCCTAAAAATATCTCTCCTTTCCTCTGCACCTCCTCCCACCTGAAGACTGCCTCTCCCTGTGCAGGCGGATATCATTGGCATGTAGCTCATTAAAGCGGGGGGGGGGGATGGAATGACAGTTAATCAACCCTCCCACAGCTGCCGTTCCTGTCGTCATCCCACACTGAACACCAGCATCACGGCCCCTCAAGCTGGGACCTACCTGCGGCTTTCTGGTGGCTCATTGGAGCTAAGCCACATGCCATGTCGGAGCGTGTCCAGGGCTCAACTCCATCCCTGTCGCACGTCTTCCCTTTTTCTCCACATTTTTTTTCTCGCTCAATTTCTGTAGAAAATCCAAAAAAGAAAATGCCTTTTTTCAAACCCTGAGGGATTCCTCCTGAGTGAATTCTGCTGCTGCTGTCTGGGTTAGCTCATATATCTGGCTGATATGAGGACAACCTTTTATATTAAATGTGTCTGCTTTTTGCTCCTCAGTAGCTTGAGGGTGTCAAAGCTGTAGTAGAACCTGCCTCACTCTGCCTTTACAGAGGGCTTGAATATCTGGACTCACATCAGATTACGTGAGATAAAAACTGTTTGGCTTCTGTGTAATTATCAAAGTCATTTCACAAAAATGTGTCCTTATGTGTTAGAGAAAAGCCTGAAATTCAGGTCTGATCTGGGTTCACTGTCTTTGTGGAATCTGTAAAAGTAGCTTTTTCCATGGATGTTAAAATGAAGTTGAGACTTGTTAGCATTTTGAAATTAAAATCCATCAGACCTAATAAAGCATTGAAGTCATGAGGTTAGATACTATGTGCTCCCATGCTACAGAGAATCAAAACAAGTCTGGTTGTCTCCAAGATGTTACTCATCAAAGGACATTTGCATCAAGTTGTCCTTTCTTGTAAGACAAAGTGACTCCTGAGACTTAAGGCTAGGGTTGTTATTCCTGTAAAAGCTAGCAGGATACGGCCACACTTTGAAAAAATACATCAGATGCATCCCACCGCCTCAAAGAATAGCATCGTCCACTGTTAGAAACCCCGGGGTGTGTTTGAAACAAACTTCCATGTATGAAGTATCACCCGGCAAATGTTCATCCGACTGTTTTTATGCATGGAAATGACTCTTTTACCTCCTACACAAGAATCGTGTATTGAGAGGGTTAATAGATTTGAGCCACTGAAGAATAGTTCAGTGATCAAAACAACAGTACTCAATATATCACAGAGATTCATGACAATGTGACAATGCTGTGATTGCAACTACAAGTCTGCAAAGATATGGTGCCGGTTTACACAGTCGAGAAAAAAAAAACGACAGTCATGAGGAATATAACATGTATCTGGATATGAAATCTCAGCGCAGCCTTACTTTAAATGGGCAGCAGTCCCCTCAAATACATTAATGGTGTTGAACAATGTAAGTAGTTGGGTTTTTGGAGCAGGTGGAGTGGGACGTTCCCCAATCGCAGGGTCAGTGGTTCAATTTCCAGCTCATCCAGTCAGCATGTCAACGTGTCCTTGGGGAAGACAATGAACCTTAAGCGGCTCCCTAACGGCTGTTCCGCCAGCGTGGGAATGAAATGCATGACTGACAGGCAAAGGCAAAGGGCTCGATATTGAAGTGCTTAATGAATGACAGTCAACATGTGAGTCTAATCTAAAGGACAATCAAAATGTGTCAGACAAGGAAAGGATAAAATAATACAGTTGTGACATAATGAGAAAAATAACTCGGGAAATTCAGAAGAAAATCAAGCTGAGGTCTTAACTTAAGTCAGATGCTTCCAGCCGCACCACCGTGACATGTAGGGATCCATTCATCCGTCATCAAATGTGGGTATACGCCTGTAAAAAACCCTCATCATTGAAACCCTAGTAGGGACTGGAGGGGGTGTTGGTGCTGCTTGCTCAGCCAAGCTTATCGCACTGCTCCGTCAGCAGGCCAAGCCCCACAGGAGACAGACTGAGGCCAAGCAGAGTGGAGGAGAGGCTCTGGGAATTTGTTTCTCTCTCTGTCACCTCACTGAGAAATTGACCAGCGGCACAACGAACTGAGCAGCAGCACGATCAATTGAGGAGCCGGAGGGAATTCATGATGGTGGCTGTTGACCAATCGGACGTGTGCGGTGTATCAACAGACGCGAAGGCACAGGGCGATTGCTGCTGGCGCTGCTGCCAGCCCACCGTGATCACATCAGATTTATAACAGCATGTGCATTTTACTTTCCCGTCGATGAAAGTGCTTTATGTCATGTGATACAAGCTTCACTTCAGACCACAGGAATGATAGACCCCCATTTGTCTGACTGTGGTTTTCACTGGTTGTAATAAAACTCCTTTTTGTTTCTTGGCACATTACCACCACCGCCAAGTCCGTAAAGTTGTTAGCATTCACGTAGTCAGTCAGACCCCTAGTTTTGGCTCAAGCTGCAAGTGGCATAGAATGCAGTTCTCTCTCTCTCTCTCTCTCCCCCGTGATGACCTGTTTTTCTCTCTTTAGTCTGTGGAGCTGTCAGTCAGAATCTGTTGCGCACGAGAGCGATGTGCACGTGCACCCTCGCTACCGACATAGATTGATTGAATTCTGTGGGAAACGCTGCAGAGAAAGTGAAACAAACTTCCTGTATCCACCCATTTATTCGTTTCCACACCAGAATTCAATGAGCTGACCCATGCTGCACCAAGTTTTGTGGTAACCAGTCCTAAAGTTTTGCCTAATCCTGCTCACTAACAGACAGACCAACAAAACGAAAGTATAACCTGAAATAATGGTTATGTATTGATCTTGTGAGAAAAACCTCACCCGACACCACTGCTTGTTAGCCACCATGTTGGGCTCATTGTATATGACTGATAATCCAGGGGCTGGTTTCAAACAAAAGGTTTAACGCTGCAACACTTTGTTGTTCGTTGTCTCATTGACTTCGCTTCTCTTGTGTTACAGCCGACCCTCTGGTGGGAAGCATCGCCACACAGTACCTGACCAACAGAGCTGAGCACGACAGGATAGCCAAACAGTGGACCAAACGCTACGCCACATAGATCATCTCAACTGCACCAGGACCCCTCCACCCCACCCAACACACACCCACACACACACAGACACACACACACACACACTTCTGACACCTCCCCTCCTCCGAAATCTATGGAAGCACACCCGCCCCTGTCATCCACCCTGCCCCCGTCCCTGAAAAACGAACTGTTATTTGTTCCATGCTGACTTGAAAAGCTTCTTTTTTATACAAAGAGTCTATTGGGATTGTATTTTCCAATACACTGAATGTTGATATGGTCATGAAAAGCTTTAATACTGTTATTGTTCTTGTTGATGTTGTTGTTCTTATTGTTATTGCATTGTGTATAACATTGTTGCCACCCTTGTCATCTTCTCTATCTAAGAGTGCGTGTATTATTCCCATTTCATGTGATGGTTTCATGTAAAAATGATCATACAGAGTGCGTTTGTTTAGTTTGTTTCCCTCCAGTGGTTTTACAGCTCATGGTCAATATTAGTGCATGGCATCAGGATATGTGTTCCTACAGTGGACATGTGGTCATGGTATTATTTCTGTCCCGCGGAGTTCAGAGTTCTGGCATGGAGTGAGCCCATCACTGTGTATGATGATAGTGGTAGTTTGCTGTACATTTAATGCCTTGTAAGAATACATACTCATTGAATACTCAATTAAACACTGGCTGTAATGTGACCGAGCCTGTCTCAATCTGTTGCTTCAGTGTGTCTGTGTGTGTGTGGTCCAGATATTTCTCATGTTAAGGTTTGACCTAAATCTGTCTACACAGTCACATTATAGGGGCTGTGCTTCTGGGGACGAAAAGCAAGTCCACATAGTGTAAATCATCACATTTTAAGGTGGAGACATGTTTTAAGGTCATGGTAAGGTATTCCATTAGTCATGATTAATTTTAGCAGTACGATTTTGTTAGGGTGTACACGTATCAACACGTGTGCATGCGCTGACCACTTCCTATTAGAAATGAGTCATCATGGGCTCACCACAGGAAGCAGAATGGTTAGATGGAGGGAGGTTATGGTTTGTCTTCCTCTAAAAAAAAAATTATGTTATTTTGATATTTAGATTTTATTTTTTATATTAATTTGAATTATTACCCATTAGACATGCAGTGCAGAAGTTATATAAACAGTGCCTTTGTAAAACTCAGGCCCTGTTAGAATCTGGTATTAACATCAGTCCTGAGACGTCCAATCACAAGTCGACATTAAGTGCGACACAGTAGCAACAGTAGTGGGCTTCACGGCACCTTAAGTGAAAAGTTGTGTTTCAGAGGACATTACATTGCCTTACCATAACCTAAAACTACTGCCTAATCCTATTACTTGAAACATGTCTTCACCTTTTAATGCAATGATTTACTTCATGAGAATAAGGAAAATAAGACCCCATATTGTGTGTATACAAAAGTAGATCCCCACAGAGTTAATATTTATTATATGTCAAATATAAGTTCATTGAAATTCTGCTCTGAATTTATTGTTTTGAAAAACGACCATTTAAAACTGTGCAGATCACAAATCTTTTTAAAGCCCTTTGAATCAGAAGGAAACCAAACCTAAGCTTTCTGAAAACCTTTGAGGAAACCCTGAGCAATGGGATGAAAAAGGCAAAGTTGCCAGGTTGTTTCAGGTCCCAGTGAGATGATGAATGTGATTCTGTAAGTCTGAGTGATAGATCCACGAGTGTGAAGGCTTATCAGCTGTCAAAATACTGCACAGTGTTTATAATAGCACCACAAAGGGCGACTGCATAGTTATTACAGCAGCAGTCATTTTATTCTCAGTCATTATGATTCCTGGGCAGATTTACCACTTTGACATTACTAAGTAATCTACCAGGAATGTGCACATTCACAATTTGCTGCAGTGCATTGCAGCACCGGCACCCTTCACTGTTCCTACTGGGTGTTCTGATTGAAGTGAATGAGGGGGTTGTTGTTTCTACACAGCGCTGTGCTCTGTGAACATGACCTTATAAAAGCATGACATTTCTTTTAGGCCAGGATTCTACGAAACTAAAGATACTCTTCAGTGGGCTCTGGGCCTGGAGTTAAAAGAAGTTAAATTTCTTTGATAGAGATGATAGATAACGTTGTTTTTTTTATTTGCACATTTAGTGGCTTAGTGCTTTACAACAAGATTCTACGGGTGTTTTATTGCTGCATTTTTGGGAGGATATTAAGTAAAGTGCCGATTAAATTAAACAAAACAAACAAGCAGAGGAGGAGCAGATATTGTGGCTGCTCTGAAAAGTGTCTGCAGACATATTTTTCAGACTCCACTCAGTGACTTTACCTCTACAGTGCTGCCTGTAGCCTGAGAGGAAAAATCCAGGACATGCTGCTCCATTTTGTGACCAAAATCCAATGGGCAAAATTGTGTGTGGCAGCCAACAGCAGGAAATCATGCTTTGTGAACATGACCTGTAGGGGCTCATGATGGCTGAATTTGTGATATCTGTGAAAACAAAACACATGAGCCGCAGCCTTTTTACATCAGCATCTTAGCTCTAACTGTTACTGACAGTGGTCACGTGAATCTGGTCTGTATTTATAAAGCGCTGTGAAGTTTTTGCCTTTCACCCATTCACACACATACATAATCTATGTGCAGCCCTTTCTCTATGAGAAGTGACGTTGTTTGGGTTCAGTATCTTACCCAAAGACACTGCTCATGCAGAATGAGGAGGACTGGGATCAAACCGCTGACCTTCTAACTAAAGACGACTCGGTTTAGCAAATCAACATTTTTTTTACAGTGGCTGGACCGACTGTGGAAAATGAATAGAAAGAAGAAAATCTGTCTGAATCAATAAGGGATGTTGTCAGGGACGATAGTGAAGAGCTGAAGAAATTGGTTCCAGAAATGTTGTCTTTCACAAGGACGCAGCAGGAAATGGTGCAGCTCAGAAGTGTTGGAAAAAGTCAGTTGTTCTTTAATGTCCCTGTAGTGTACAGCACTTTGAATCTACCTCCAAGGTCCACCAGTGTCGGCCCCTGTTGCCAAACGTTGTTGAATCTCATCATCTTTGCACCTTGATATATTTGTCTGGATCTTCCGACACCTCTTTTTCATCCTGAGAAATTTGTTTGTCTTATCTTTTTTCAGTTTTGCATCCATCGAGTGTTAGAACCGCTATCGAAAGGCCTACTTGCTCACTGTGAATTACCAGGCAGGAAAAGTTCTGGAAGATGTCAGGAGCAACTGACTCAGACATTTGCATTCTCACATACAGCCCCTTTCAGGACAAAGTCCAGACTGCAGTGCATGTCTGAGAGCAGCTTATAATATGTGTGGACGGCTACAACTGTGACTTCTGTTTCCAAGTTCTTGCTGATGAGACACTTTCTCGGGCTGCGTTCAGCACTGTGTGAGAACAACACATGCCGCCTGTTTCATTTCAATGAGACCACTGTGTTTGCACAGCAGGGGTCCCAGCGCAGAGCTACAAATACACTGGGTCTTCTTTTGCTCTAACTCAATGCATCCTTTAGCAACGCACACAATCAAATCCTGCAGGTACAAGCGGATAGTTCTATTAGATCACTGTATGCTGTTACAGAAACGTAGCCCTGAGTGAAACTGTAAGTTGAACTGAGGTCAGATTTTATGATAAGTGCGTAGTCGAGCAATCTATCAGCTCGTTTCATCAGTAGAGATAAAGCTGGCTTTAATTAATTAGATGATCTGTGTTAAGTCAAAAGGTATTCAACCCCGTTTCAGCAGTGTCGTTATACTCTCCTCTAATTTAACAAACCCCCTCAGAATGTGTTTCTAATGGAAGCAGAATACCACGAGAAAGCAGCTGTCTTGACTGGCAGCAACATACATTTCCATTACGTCTGCAGCCGTGAGCCAAAATACTGACAGGCACTACGTTTAACCCCCCGCTGCACAGACATTATTTCAAACACACCTCATGAGGACAAGCAGTTCAGCTGTAATGTGTTGCAGGTTTTCATGGGAGCACCTGGACTCTAACACGAGGCGTGAGAGGCTGAGAGGGTTTAAAGTGTTGACTGAAATCCTCCTTCTGCTACAAGTGGAATACTACAGCTTCATGTTATTACCATGGACAGTGTGGAGTGTCTTCAGAGTTACGGAGGTTTTTCCTTTTACTTCACAACAGATTCAGAGCTGTGATGATGTTGAAATCCTCCCCTGGCTGTGGTGGAAAAACATACCTCATAAAAGTCAGCGGCATAAAGCAGAGAGCACAACAACGTTGACTTCTACTGTGAAAGGGATTTGTCTGCTAAACCGTTTTCAGGCATGATCTGCGGAGGAACTCCGGAGAATCGTGTCCGGGCTTTCTCTGCAGATTTCCTTTTAATTCTGCTGCTGCTGCTGATTTTGTTTGCAGCACATCAACACCAGCGTCTGCTCTCTCTTGACACCTTTGTCAGTGAATCCTAAGTGCATATACGACTTTTCCATCCTTAGATATTTTATTTTTCTGTCTGTCATGTGTAGGAAGTGTCACCAACTCGCTCCCTGTGAATCCAGTGGGGATCCCCCGCTCTTTCTCACATTAGAATCTGCAGACTTTAGACCTTTGGCACCAAACACATGGAGTGAGACTAGTGCAGGTACTTATCTTTTTAGTTATATTTATTTTCATTGTAGTACTGTGAGGTGTACGACAGCATACAGTCACAACATGAAAAAAGTTATTGTCTTTCCATACTTAGTCCATTGCTCATGAAGAATAGATAAATTAATGTGAGAAAGCTTTTTTTATCAAATACTCCAAACAACAAAATACAAGACACCAGATCAAGTACCATGCAGTTAAGTTATCTATTATTTATTTAAACACATCAATGAAATAACATTACATATTTAATTAAAATATAAACCACCAAGGCTGAACAGTCCCATACATCCAGATTTTTATTTTGATCAGAGCAAAAAATGTCACACACTCATAAATATCAGTCCCCCCCCAAAACATGTTTAATCAACATCCATGAATGATTCTCTCTGAAATCAATGAAAATGTTGAAAAATCGATCTAACATGTGAAAAACAATTCTGCACCCTGATCCAGATCCACACCTTAATTTGTCAGCCCCTTTCTTGGCCCACACCACATCCTTCCACCATGTCATGGTAATACGGTCAGTTCTTTCTGTGTAATCTTGCTATCAAACAAACAGAGAGCTGTGAAAACACAACCTCCTCCGCAGAGGTAATAATAGTCTTTAAGTTGATCAAAATAGAAGGTATTACTATTTTTTTGTGATAATTTGTCCTTAGGTTTCTCTATTTCTCATTGTGATCTCCTACATGCTGTATCCAGTTTTTAGTTGTTGTTGCCATTTAGTCATAATTTTGTGATTTTTTACTTCACAGCCAGCGGAGTGAGAAGCTGTAACAATGGTTGAGACGTCTATGTACTTACATTCTTTCCCCAGCACGATGTTTTTTTATCTTACTCACACAAGATAATAACTTGTGCAGACAAAAGCCAGGTATTACCTGATGTCTTAACGAAATATCAATATGACTTTAACATCAATTAACACAAGTTCACACATGTTTGCTCAAATTTGCACAAGTGATTATCTTGTGTGAACAAGGTCTTGTATATTTTCAGCAAAGTCAACTCACAGAAACAAGATATCTGATAATATATACGCACACAACTTAATACGAGTTCACACAAGTTTATAAGTTCACAAAAGCCCATTTTACACAAACAAGATATATGATGACATCCCTGGCTTCTGTTTTCTTATTTAATTTGACAGGCCGGGGGGGAAGACACTGAGGAGAGCAGTGGGTTATGGTTAGTGTGGGCGGCCATACTGCCTGTGCTGCAAACAGAGCGTGCACTTTACAGAACAAGCCATCACTGGTCGATGGCCTTCCTCACAGCTGCCATGTCTGAGTGGGGGTGCAGCGCTCGGCTTTGGTTTTTAGTCTCTGGCTGAGCTGCAAAGTGGAGCAACAGTGGCAGAGTTAATTATGGTTGACACATCGGTGGCGCAAGGAGGGGTGGAAATTAGGGGGGGGTTGGGCAGTCGTCATCCTCCCTTCCTCACACTGCAGGAGGATAATAATGAATAATAATGTTGCACTTGCACAGGTAATGATCGATAGGAGTGTAACGGCCACACTGGGTCTGTGAACAAAGGTGTGATGTGTTGGAGAGGGGGAGGGGCTGTCAGTTAGTATAGACATGCTGTTGTAAGCAGGTCAACATAAACAGTTTTTTCTCAACCACATGTGGCTGATTATTATTATTTTAAATGACATTTCAGTGGCAGACGCCCAAATAAACAGTCACCATGAGGAGTTGGTCTGATTCACTGCAAATGTGTTAGTTAACACAGTATGAACCAGTGTGTGGACTCAAGGGCTTTTAAGGTGACACTTGCAATCCTCCACAATCTTGGGGCCCTTACCTCCAGAGGGGCCCTGCAGTGAAACATTTATCTAATTCAAAACCCTTCATCATCTCAGCTTCATCTTTGGACATTCCAACATAGATAGGACCTGATAGGTATTAACTTCTTACTCCTTTTCGAACACGGTTTATTTATTTTGAACATCTGTTGTTTAAGTCCACTTGTTTGCTGTGCCTTTTTCTGATGTGCTTATATGTTTGGATTTTGGCTCGAAATAAACACATAACTAACTTACTAGATTTTGCTCATTTCCCCATCGTGGGACTAATAAAGTACTTCTTATTCTTCTTTTTCTTAACTAACCCACTAACTCACTAACTGTGTGCAATCAACCTACCGTTACCTAATTTCTTCACGAACACACACACACAGGGCAGCTGTGGCTCAGGGATCGATCGGGTCATACTCCAAGCAAGTCGTCGGTTTGATCCCAGTCTTCCCAGTTACGCATGCCGAAGTGTCCTTGGGAGTGCTGCCTGTAGATGCACTCAAAAAAGTATGCTGAAAAGTGCTTTGAGTGATCAGCAAGACTAGAAAAGTGCTATATCAATAAAGACCATTTACACACACTCTCTCTCTCTAACACACACACACGCAGTCATGTCTCAATGATTTCAGAGGACATTCATTTCCTGGAGACTTACTCTAACCTTCACCATAGTTACTACTTGCCCAACCCAAAACCAAGGGATTCAAATATGTGAAGCCGGTTTCTGTCCTTAACAAAATGTTATATTGATAGTTCTCCAGAACCTTCTCATTGTAAGAAGCTTTGCACTGGGTTACAGCCACATGCTGTGAGAAGTCAATAAAAGTGCCACGTTATCACTTTGTTTAATGTTTATTTAACCCGCGGCACATGTCATATGTTAGCTGTAAAGTGTCCTTTATAAAAGTGTCACTCATGCACTCCGCCGCTGTGTTTATAGCTCGGCAGTAACTCCGGCTGGTGGCTAACAGCAGCATCAATTTATTACTTCCCAGTAATGAGGAGGCCTGGTAATGATGCTTCCTACACATGATGGAGCATGTCTGTGTTTTATGCGTGCAGCTCTGTGGTTGACAGTGAGCAGGAGGAAGATAACATCAGATTCAGCAGGAGCAGAGGATCACACCTGCCGCAGGTGTGTGAGGTCCCGGAGACACACAGGAGAGACAATGAGGCATCAACCTCACTAGAAAGATGTCTGAGTCGGTTCATGGCTTCCTGCAGAAGTTATGGCTCCAATGGTTGAACGGTTCAGCTCCTGTGTGTGTGTGTGTGTGTGTGT